TTTTCTTCTTCATTATGCATTTTTTGGCTGGTGTGACTTATACTCTGACGCAACTTGTAGTCCGAAAAAATATGGTACATATATTTGTTGTTACATTTGTTTCCTGGACACTGATCTTAACTCTTTATTGTATCATTTATATAATATTTATTCATTTTTAAATCAAATTAAAAAAACTAAAATAGTGTAATGAAACAAAATGATGTTTTTTTTGTGTGCACATAGATATAAGGCCACATGGTAATATAAAAAACTACAAGCGCTATGATTTAATGTCATAAATCACATTCTATGGCCCAAAAAAAGAGTACTGTAAAAGCAATATCATTGGTATTGAGTATCGAGTCTATTCCTTCCTTCCTATCAAAATCTAATATTATTATGGCAACATTAGTCTCCAAAACGTAATAAATATACCCGCCAATACAAAATAATGTTCTACAACGGAGATTATTATCTTATTTTAACTTTAAATAAATGTACGTTTCCAAACTTTCATAACTTTGACCAATGACATTTCACATGTTTATCACAGAATTTTTAAAAACTTGGCTCAGACCTGCAGACTGGCCCACTGCTCGCACAAAGGAAAGGTCAGTTTTACCTGTGGGGTGAACAAAACATTTAACTTCATAACTTTTCTATGTGTATTTCTAAGTGGTATTGAGAAATGTGGAAATCATGCATAGCTGTTTATTTTGAGGGTAAAAAATGACAGTTGTTTGAAATAGAAATTTATGTAACGCGGCGATTCGAAGGGACAAGTTAAAACAGCTAAAGTCAGTGTTATCTGAGTCTTTTTCCATTGCTCTGTTTATGTTTTGGGCAGGTTCGACTGGAAGACGAGCTCAGGGCATGTTAGGGTGGGGTCAAAGGTCAAAGGGCGCTGGATATTTTAGGATGCGACCTGAGGTGACACCAGCGGAAACCCAGTGAGGACGTCTAAAAGAACTTTGTACATATATATTCAGTGTTGGGAAGGTGACTTTTAAAATGTATTCCCAGTACAGATTACAGATTACAGATTACATACACCAAAATGTAGTTTGTAACGTAATCCATTAAATTACTTAAAGTGAGTAACGTAATCTGAATACTTTGGATTACTTGATATTGTCATGTTTTTTAGTTTAGTCCTGGTGTTAGTCCTAGTTTAGTCCCAGTTTAGTTCTGGTTTTAGTTCTGGTTTAGTCTTGTTTTAGTTCTGGTTTTAGTCCTAGTTTAGTTCTGGTTTTAGTTCTGGTTTAGTCCTAGTTTAGTTCTGGTTTTAGTTCTGGTTTAGTCCTAGTTTAGTTCTGGTTTTAGTTCTGGTTTAGTCCTAGTTTAGTTCTGGTTTTACTAGTTTAGTTCTGGTTTTAGTTCTGGTTTAGTCCTAGTTTAGTTCTGGTTTAGTCCTAGTTTAGTTCTGGTTTTAGTCCTAGTTTAGTTCTGGTTTAGTCCTAGTTTAGTTCTGGTTTTAGTTCTGGTTTAGTCCTAGTTTAGTTCTGGTTTTAGTCCTAGTTTAGTTCTTTTAGTTCTGGTTTAGTCCTAGTTTAGTTCTGGTTTTAGTTCTGGTTTAGTCCTAGTTTAGTTCTGGTTTTAGTCCTAGTTTAGTTCTGGTTTTAGTTCTGTTTTAGTCTAGTTTAGTTCTGGTTTTAGTCCTAGTTTAGTTCTTTTAGTTCTTTTAGTCCTAGTTTAGTTCTGGTTTAGTTCTGGTTTAGTCCTAGTTTTAGTTCTGGTTTAGTCCTAGTTTAGTTCTGGTTTTAGTCTAGTTTAGTCTGTTTTAGTCTAGTTTAGTTCTGGTTTTAGTTCCTAGTTTAGTTTAGTTCTGGTTTAGTCCTAGTTTAGTTCGTTCTGGTTTTAGTCTAGTTTAGTTCTGGTTTAGTTTAGTTCTGGTTTTAGTTTAGTTATTTAGTTCTGGTTTTAGTTCTAGGTTAGTTTATTTCTGTTTTAGTTCTAGTTTAGTTCTAGTTTAGTTCGGTTTTGTTTAGTTTTAGTCCTAGTTTAGTTCTGGTTTTAGTCCTAGTTTAGTTCTGTTTTAGTCTAGTTTAGTTCTGTTTTAGTTCTAGTTTAGTCTAGTTTAGTTCTGGTTTTAGTTTAGTTCTGGTTTAGTCCTAGTTTAGTTTTGGTTTTAGTTTAGTTTTAGTCCTAGTTTAGTTTAGTTCTGGTTTTAGTCCTAGTTTAGTTCTGGTTTTAGTTCTAGTTTAGTTTAGTTCTGTTTAGTTTTAGTTCTGGTTTAGTCCTAGTTTAGTTCTGGTTTTAGTCCTAGTTTAGTTCTGGTTTTAGTCTTGGTTTAGTTCTAGTTTAGTTCTGGTTTTAGTCCTGGTTTAGCCCAAAATATGAAAACTGAAAATTACCGCCCTGTAATCCATTTATTTCAACAAAGTAACTGTAATCCAATTACCACTCACTGAAACAGTAACTGCAACCGAATACAGTTACTCATCATTTGTACTCTGATTACATAACTTTGGTACATGTAATCTGTTACTCCCCAACACTGTCTATATTTCCTTGTGTGATGTTTACTTCTTTGAAGTGCCTGGATTCCATTGTGTTTAAATTAGTGATAGTGACTCTACTTCCTATGTACTTTATCGCCAACCATCTGTGCATTTAAAATCGTGCATCTGAAGTATTGCACCGCATTTCACAAACAATAATAGTACAGTTTTGACTTGTATCTAAACTAGAAGTGCAGAAGTTTCAACAATTAAGAGTCTGTAGACGGGAAGCAGCTGACACGAGCTGCACTCTTAACTTTGTGTCCTGTGGTCCGCAGTCATATCCCACTGGAGTCTTTGCCATCGGAGATTTAAAATCTCATTCTCATCAGATTGTCCTCGTGTCTGTGTTGTGTGCTTTTTGTTGCACGTTTAAAAATCATTTAAGAATGAAAAATCTTGCAGTGTGTGACGGCTTTAAGTCTAAATTTATAATAAGTGGGTCTAAGGCTACATTCAGACTGCTGCCAAATCCGATTTTTTTGGCCCCTATGTGACCTGTATCTGATCTTTTAATGACACAAATCAGATTTTTTTTAAATGCGACTCAGGCCACTTGGATATATGCTCCTAAAACTGATACATATCTGATCTTTTGACATGCGACTTCAGTCTGAATGACCAAAGTGCATTCATCCACCTACACGTTATCAACAAGCCACAAACGTCACTATTCTGCGCTGAAGTAGGCGAAAATTGTTAATGAACTCTGTGTCACTGAAGCGAAGCACATCACCACTCACCACTCTTGGCTACGTCTCCGCATCCACATGTTCCTTTCAACGGACTGACCCACAAAACACCACGGCCAAAAACCTCGTCCTTCTCCTTCTCAATCTCCTCCTTAAAACAAGTAAGTTGTTCATGTTCTGGCTCCGGTACGAGAGGAACTTTAAAATCTCCAGGTGCTCAATGCTCGCGTCCATGTTTGGACAACTTCCGTAAACACAGAGACGCTCGCTGCGGTTGACGTCGTCGTGTCTCCAGTGCACATGCGGGACACTTTTGGGTCGTTTAATGTTCACACTGGAGTCACATATGAGTCGCATTTAATTGGAAATGTGAACGACCTCGCAAAAACATCGGATTTCACGAAAAAATCCGAATTGAGCGTTGAGCCCTGCAGTCTGAACGTAGCCTAATTCTCCCCCCGAAGGCGCTGGAGGACGTGTCTGGGGCGAAGGAAGTCTGGGAGTCCCTGCTTAGACTGCTGCCACCGCGACCCAGCCCCGAATAAGCGGAAGAAAATGGACGGTTGGATCTAATTCTGGGCTCCTAAAATCCCGGGGCCCCGAACGACAAACCCCTCCGCCCCCCTCGCCGTCAACTCCCCTGCTTGTCCCCGACGCCGTACAGACAGGACTTGGCGCGGCCCCCGTTCTCTCTATATCACCTGGACTTTAATATCTCCCGCGATATGACCATCTCCTTGAATTTTTTTTATGGACCTCCGCAGCAGATTGACGCTCCCCGGAAATCGATAGCGGGTTGTTTGTGGCCGTGGCGTACGTAACTCTGACTGAAAACTGAAAGCCGGCCCTCACATGTCTGCACAGGTGAAGAACACAAAGTCACAGTGAAGGACACGGGGACCAGCTGTACTCATTTGTAATGCACGAACAGCTCTGCCTTCTTCTGCGCAATATATGAAACCCTCGCAAATGACATCCGTAAGGAGCATAATGCATTCATCTCATACGGTGTGCACCAATGGCCCACAAAGATTTACATAAATATAAAATAATGCCGCGCGTCTATCCTCTTATGGAAAGCAAATGTTTTTTAATGCGTATGGGGAAATTTACAGTTACGTAACAGTAATAAGAATACAGTTTGAATAAGGAAATGTAAAAGGCAGGTGCATAAATAAAGGCTGTCGTATTGGCCAATTGAGAATTAAAGGTCCTATATTACGCAAAATGGACTCTTGCGAGGTTTAAATCACATTATAATGTTGTTATCTCGTCAAAAACAGACCTGGATTTGTGTTGTTTGTTTTTTTTTATCCTGGTTTATGAGTCTGTCTACATCTCCAAAGCTCAAAATGCTCTGTTCCACCTCGCGATGTCATGTCACGAAGCACATTTTTTCAAGTTAATAGCCACTTTTTTTTTACCTTTTGTGTAGCAGAGATTGGCAATTCCAGGGCTGAAATTATCCAGATTATTCTAGTGAAGGTGTGTGGAGTTTAAAAACATGATTTAAACATGTGTGAATGAAACAAAAAAACAACTCCAGGTCTGTTTGTGGTGAGAAAACAACATTATAACATAGATCAGAAAACAGCATAATATGAGCCCTTTAACCAGGACTAGACTAGACCAGGACTAGAAAAGGACTAAACGACCAAAGTGTGAATTTAATGTACACATAAAATTACTACTTTTCTCGCTATTAAAAGCAATTATAATCTCTCCCATCACAAAACTAAAATGTTGATAGTAAGGAAAAAACTTAATACACAATACTAGATCTGTCGTTTTGGAATAAAAATCAAGCCGTGTTTTTTTTTTGCAGTGCTCCTAAAGCCCAATTTATGGATTTATGGATCTGCGTCGAGGTTTATGCACCACGAAGTAATTCACCAACCACAACGTGAGGAGGCGAGGATTTAAACCCGGCATTTGTGTGAAGTTTAACATGAATCATCTCCAACACGACAGAAGCACAGAACAGACTCACCATCATCATCGACATCCTCTGTCACAGAAAAAACACTCATATTCATCCGAGTTGTGTCCTTTAGTCTGACAGAAGCTGAACTGCGTCAACAGCACAAGGAGCGAGCTGTTTTTATCAGGCTTATAGTTTATGCAAATTATCCATGTGGTTTTAAGTTTTGTTTCTGTAAAATGTAAAAAAAAAAAAAAAAATGTACAAAGCTGCATTAAACGCGTTATTACTCAGTGTATATTTAAAGAAAGGAAAGTGGAGTACAGGAAATGTATGTAGAGCGGTGGTATAGAGAGGACCAGTCACTTCCCCCTGTGAAACTGCAATATCTGCCAAAAAAAAAAAGGCAATTAAATGTTTTCTTAAAATCGTTCAGCCCTACACAATACTGATTCTGATACCAGGATGATTAAAAAAAACAAAAAACACTCTTGATTTAGACAATAGAATGCCATTTTCAACTTTAGTAATAGTACTTTCTTTTATATTACCATGTGAACCAAATAAATATGTGCAAAGCTGCATTAAACACATTATTACTCGGTGTATATTGAAAGAAAGCAAAGTGGAGTACAGGAAATGTATGTAGAGCGGTGGCACAGCCTTGACTGTCTGCGTCACTTCCCCCGCTGTCAAATCGTCGGTGCAGGACTCTGGTATGATGTAAGTTGTGGTATCATCACATACCACACTGTTGAGCCGCTATACCACACCGCAGGAGAAAAATCCTAACCGCAACAGCCCAAGACAACAGAATGCCATTTTCAACATTAAAGGTTGTATGGAGGATTTTTTTGTTGTTGTTTCAAATTGTCGATGAAACTTCAAAATAGAATTATAGAGATGCAGCAGTCTGTAATTATGATGACCAAAAAAAAAAGAATGAAAATCCATCAACTGTGACGTGGTGGGGCAGATAAACATCAGCCAATAGAAACAAGGAACCTCTTTAACTATTGGCTGTGGTTGAAACTTGCGTCACTGATGCCGGCCTAACCGCACAACAGACCCACAGCGGTTCTTAGCATCTTTTCGAACTGAGCTTCCTCTCATGCACAAAGTTTGTTTCAGACATTCACATTAACATAGAAAACTAGTACTTTTTTACATTACCATGTGTACCATATTACCGTATTTTCCGCACTATAGGGCACGCTCTTAAGCCTCCAACCCCATCAAAAAACAACACAAATCCACTCAGGTGTCCCAGCACGACTTCAGTAAACTACAAAGCCGCAAACACCCACGCGCGGCGAAAAACACCCGCAGCCACACTCGTCACTCCACGCCGACGAGGAACGGAACGGAGGAACGAACCGAAAAAGCGAGTGCGATGTGCCACTTCTAGACACGACTGAACAACTGAGTCACTGCGAACACGCCGACAATCCGGTTGGTCCCAGACAGCACCTCCCTACACGCCACAACTGAACAAAGCCCAGAGTCACCGTGAACGAACAACAAACAAACAAAACCACTCACCCATCCAACTGTTGTGTTTCGTTTAAAGTCCGGTGCGGTTTATTTGTGAAAAAAGTTCGAAAATAGACCATTTAATGACAGTGCGCCTTATAATCCAGAGCGCCCTATAGTGCAGAAAATACGGTACATCTGTGTAATCCCTCAGTGGTCCATGGGCGTATACTCGTCTATCTGCTCTTATACTTGTTCTGACACAGCTCAAGGTCATTCTAAAGCGATTTTAAAGGTTAATTTCTGTCCTGTGAACGTGACTTTTTCAGTATCGACACCTTCGCAAATGAGTGTCTAGTTTCAGCATCGATCAGAATCCGATTTTCTACTCTTTTCACAACCCTTCTGCTCTCTATTGTCATTTCAAACGATTCGTCTGACCCAAGTGACAAGCTCCCTACAGTCTCATAACGCATTCAGCCCTCACACTCGCACTTACATTTCCATAAACATTAAATAATCATACGCTGTACATCCACTTATGTAACCAGGCCTATTCAAACCCTCTGCGACGCGTCTCCATTGTCTCTTCCCTCCACGCGAAGTGACAATGGAGCAGAGGTTTTCTCCTAATGAAGGCTTTAATCAGGGAGTAATGCATGTGGAGAGGCCCCGCATGCTGCTGATTAGGCACAAGATGGAGGGGCCAACGGGGGAACTTGTCAGCCCACAAAATACACACTGGTTCTATAGGGACGGGGGCACGATTTTTGGTTATTTATATTCGGGGGTTTTTGCGGGTGGGATAAGGCTTGATTGATTTATGAAAGACGAGAATGAGACGAGAAGAATTTTGATATAATTTATAGTAATAGTACAGTAATAGTAATAAATGATACTACGCAAATTTTAGTTTTCTGCTATAATGGGGTGGCTGGTTTCATTTAGTGGAAACCGTCTGACCTCGCAGCATTAGGATTCGTTCGCTCGACGGTAGGCGGGTACTTTTTTAATTTAACCAATCGCTGCAATACGGTCGTAATATGTAATGCGCCAAAAGGGCAATAACGTCTTTCCCCTTGATAAAATTCACCAAACTTTCTCTTTGTTCCGGCTTTAAATCCTCGATCTCGGAAATCGTTGCCAACACAGAATGTCTGTCTTCGTCTACATTCATCTCGGCCGCTTTGTTTACTGTTGTGTTGTACCACAAAAGAGACACAGACAGACGCTTGAGTTTGACGTCATGGCTTCACAGCTCTTCGCTGATTGGCTGGTGCACGGTTTACAACTTCCAGGGTTCTTGGTCCAGTGAGATTCATTTGGTCTTCTGATATTTTATGTTATTTTGTTATTTGTTGTTTTGTTATTTGTTTTGTCTGCTAAAAGAAAATAAAAAAAATGAGTCTTTACTTTACAAATTAAAAATATTCTTGATAGAAGAGGAGGAAACATGGTCCATGCAGCATGATTTAGTCCGGTTAAATCCTGTTTTAGACCTGGTTTTAGTCCTGGTTTTAGTCCTGGTTTAGTCCTGGTTAAGTCTTGGTTTAGACCTAGTTTAGAACTGGTTTAGACCTGGTTTAAAACTGGTTTACACCTGGTTTAATCTTGGTTTAGACCAAGTTTAGACCTGATTTTAGTCCTGGTTTAGTCTTGGTTTAGACCTTTTTTAGACCTGGTTTAGTCCAGGTTTAGACCCAGTTTAGACCTGATTTTAGTCCTGGTTTAGTCCTGGTTTAGACCTGGTTTAGACCTGGTTTAGACCTGGTTTAGACCTGGTTTAGTCCTGGTTTAGACCTGGTTTAGAAGTGGTTTGGACCTGGTTTAGTGTCCGGCAATGCTGTCTTCCGCTTTTGGCGCTGGATTAAAGAAGCAATCGAAATACGGAAACGTGCCCACAGGACTGTAAACCGGGACGAGGGGGCTTTTTTACTCTCACACACCTGGGATACTGTCCTGAGGAAGTCAGACTGCAGATGGCGCTGTCGTCCTGCCTCCACCGGTAGGAAGACAGCGCCAAAACCTGTTTAAATCAGCTGACCGGACATGTCACAGCAACATCACGTGACTCTGAGGAAGACGCTCGTGAGCAGTCGAAACTGTCAGGCATGAAATAACACTCTAGGTCTGAAAAAAAGAACCTAATAACATAGAATATTGGAAGACCAAATGAATCTCATTGGACTATTACAGTTACTCATAATCTGTACTCTGATTACATAACTCCGGTACATGTAATCTGTTACTCCCCGACACTGAACGTAAGGCAGAGCAATGACATATCCACAGAAACAGCCAAAAAAGTAACACAATGCACCTTTAACATCTAACTTCAGTAGCAGAGCTTGAGACAGAGCAGTGCTTTCAGTTAGCATCACGTCCCCGGGGATCGTTGTCGTACCAATAGTCAGAGTATTTTTCCACTACAGAGAAAGACGAGCGTGTTTTCAGCTCGTACACTGTGACAGCATGATGGACTGAGGGTAACTGGTCTCATGGCTCTGGTTTAATCAAGTGTTCACATGTGCCGCTGTAATCACTGTGGCTCTCTTCCCAATTAAAGCTTTAATCCATCAGCTGGCTGTTGCTATGGCGATCCGCTCCGCGACCAATGAGACGGCGGAGGAGAAGCCGGGGCCGCCTCACAACAAGGGAGAAGCGGAGGAGAGGAAAACAATCTCTACGGCGGACTTTGATCAAACAGACGCGAGCGCGAGGGACAGCCGGCTGCTTTATAAATATAACACAACGACGGTGATTAATTAAGACGGAACTATGGGGTAAAAGAGGAAATGTCAAAATGTGGCGTCATGCGAAGAGATTAGAGAACGAAATGAGTCACACGGCGGCGCCTATAAGTGTTAATTGAAATGTTCAGTAAAGTGGAAATAATTGGGTGGGTCTACAGATCATCGCAGTAGAATGAATATAGAAGTTTGAACGAGACTTTTATTTATTGTTTATTTATTGCAAACAAAAAATGCCTTGTCATATTATGGAAAAAAATATTAAAAACTGTTGCTATTCCTGAAGTTGAAACCTGTATAAACATTCTAATATGTATGGGATTCTGGCTTTAGCTTAGCAGTACCAATTTCAGTCTCAAATGTTAAAGAGCCTGTATTATAAAACACTCTGTTCCACCTTGTGATGTCATGTGGTAATACAGGAAGTAAACTAATACAACATTGCTATAATCAGTCGGATAATTTCAGAACTAGAACTGCCAATCTCTACTGAACAAAAGGCAAAAAGTAGCTGTAAACACTAGGGGATGCAATAATAACCAAAATATCATGATATCCATCCATTTTCTTCAGCTTATCTGGGGCTGGGTCGTAGGGGAAGCAGTCTAAGCAGGGACTCCCAGACTTCCCTCACCCCAGACACTTCCCCTAGCTCCTCCATGGGGACCCCAAGGCGTTCCCAGGCCAGCCAAAAGACATAGTCCCTCCAGCGTGTCCTGGGTCTTCCCTGGGTCCTCCTCCCGGTGGGACATGCCCGGAACACCTCCCGAGGGAGGCGCACAAGAGGCATCCGGAAAAGATGTCCGAGCCTCCTCAACTGGCTCCTCTTGATGTGGAGGAGCAGCGGCTCTACTCCGAGCTCCTCCCATGTGACTGGGCTCCTCACTCTAAGGGAGCGCCCAGCCACCCTGCGGAGGAAACTCATTTAGACTGCTTGTATCCATGATCTCGTCTTTTCGGCCATTACCCAGAGCTCATGACCATAGACGAGGGGAGGAACATAGTTTGAGCGGTAAATGAAGAGCTTTGCC